GGGGGGGGTGGGGAGGGCATTAAGCTGCCAGCTTCATGAGCCAAATCCTGGTTGTGCTTCACCACCCCAGGCAGTGGCATGTAGAGCTCCCGCTCTTGACATAAGGGCAGTGCCCTTCGGGGTCCTGGACCTGGTAGTGGGATGGTGGTGGCCCTGTCTGTCCGTAGACCGACCTTCACCCCACCTTTGTCCCTGGGAGGGTGGGCTGGAGGCTTTGTACCTCTTGGGTGAGGGCTGGAGGCCTGCCCCTTTATAGATGGACACTCCACCACTGGACAGACAGGTTTAGTTTACCTGCTTTCCTGGTTGTTGGTGGGGTCTTAGCTGCCCCCAGCCCCAACCACGCCCACCCCTGGGAGACAGAGCCTGCCTGGCCAGGCTCAGGCTCCCAGCCATGGGCCTGGGCGCACCCGGGTCTGGTCACATTCCTGAGGGACCTGCTAGGCCTCCCTGGCCCTGAGGGCGGGGTGGGGGAAGGGCAGAGGAAGGTGAGGGTAGAAGCAGGCCTGCACTGGCCCCTTCCACTCACTGTCCTTTGGTGTGGGTTGAATGAACCAGAAGCTTAGCTCGACCCTGGGGGCCAGGGAGTGGGGCAGGATTCCTGTCAGCACACTGGCCGAAGTCCCCCTGGGGTCCCCCAAATCTTGTGTGCGGAGAGGAGGGTGAGGGTGGAATCAGGGACTCTCTGCCCTGCCTAGTTGTCCCCTGTGAGACATGTGGAGTTGACTGTCCTGCTTTTCATCCCCAGGTGACCAGGCATTGATGCCCCCCCAGGGAGGCCGAGCCCAAAAGGAGGCCACCCCCGCTGGTTGCTGCTCACATGGTTTCTGGGCCCCTGGCACTCCGGTAGGCTGGGAGGGGAGGGTGTGGAGGAGGGGGTGGGTACAACACAGCCTGGGCCAAACTGGCTCCTAGCTCAAGGCGGGCCCTGGAGCACACCTGGAGGGAGGGCTGCTGGTTCCCGGTGAGGGGCTCTATGGCAGATTAGCTTGTCCCCAATTGTCTGAGCTGCCAGTCCTGGGTGCTCTGCGGGGGGGCAGGGGGCTATTCCCATGTGTTGCACCAGCCCCACATGCTGTCCCCCAGAAACAACAGAGGGTGTCTGTACCAACCTGCCTGCTGGAGGTTAGCTGACTAAGGGTCCCAGAGCCCAAGGGCTGCCTTGGCCAGGCCAGCCTTGCCCCCACCCCCCAGGAGGCTGAGTGTCACCTTTGGGCCTACCTTCTGGTTTGGAACTGAATTCTAGCCTAGCTCCCAAATCAGCATCTGCGTGATCTGTGTCGGTTGCCCTCCAGCCTTCTTTCTCCTTGGGGGCAAATGGGCCTTCCCCGCCTGCGGCCTCTGCCCTCACATCCTGCCAGCCTAACCAGTGCCTGCCTGTTCTCTGCCCTGCAGGTGGTGCGCGTGGGGAGGGCGCGGGGACATGGGGCCCGACATGGAGCTGCCCAGCCACTCGAAGCAGCTCCTGCTGCAGCTGAACCAGCAGAGGGCCAAGGGCTTCCTGTGTGACGTCGTCATCATGGTGGAGAACTCCATCTTCCGCGCCCACAAGAATGTGCTGGCGGCCAGCAGCATCTACTTCAAATCCCTGGTGCTGCACGACAACCTCATCAACCTGGACACGGACATGGTCAGCTCAGCCGTCTTCCAGCAGATCCTCGACTTCATCTACACTGGCAAGCTGCTGCCTGGAGACCAGCCCGCAGAGCCCAACTTCAGCACGCTCCTCACCGCCGCCAGCTACCTCCAGCTCCCCGAGTTGGCCGCCCTCTGCCGCCGCCGCCTGAAACGGGCCGGCAAGCCATTCGGTGCCTCACGTGTGGTGGCTGCCGGCATAGGGCGGTCCCCCCGCAGCCAGCGTCTGCCCACCACCTCTGTCATCCAGGTCCACTACCCAGGGCAGGGGGATGGGCGCCAAGGGGCCCCTGCACCCCAGGAGCTCCCCCAGCCCAAAGGCTCAGATGATGAGCTCTTCCTTGGAGGCACCAGCCAAGAGGTCCCACACGCCCTGGGCCATGTGCTGTGTCCTGCCGGTGGGGAGGCTGGCTTGGGCGGCTGCAGCAGCACCAACGGCAGCAGCGGGGGCTATGAGCAGGAGCTGGGCCTGGATCTGTCCAAGAAGAGCCCGCCGCTGCCCCCCACCACACCAGGCCCCCACCTCCCCACTGATGACCAGGCCCAGCTAAGTGACAGTCAGCACAGCTCGCCCCCTGCAGTCCCCATCCCACCCACTGCCAACAGTGCCTCTTACACTGAGCTAGGGGGTGCACCTGAGGAGCCCATGGATCTGGAGGGGGCCGAGGACACACCCCTGAGCCGGCTGGAGGGGCCCAGCGGGCAGCCTCGGAAGAGCCTGCGGCACTCAGCCCGCAAGAAGGAATGGAACAAGAAGGATCCCACTGCCACCGTGGAGCCGAGGGAGGGCGGGACCCCAGACGCCTGCCCGGCCGAAGACAGCGAGGCCCCGGAGGACAGGGTTCCTAACGGCATCCTGGGCGGCAGGGGCGGCCCCGGCGGGGCCTATGGGGAGCCCCTCCCCTGCAAGGAGGAGGAAGAGAACGGCAAGGACGGGAGTGAGGACAGCGGGCACAGCGGCAGCGAGGCGGGCAGCGGCCCCTCGGGCTCCCACTACCTGTACCGGCCCGAAGGCTTTGAGACGGTGCCCTACGGGGACAACTTGTACGTGTGCATCCCCTGTGCCAAGGGCTTCCCCAGCTCGGAGCAGCTCAATGCCCACGTGGAGACGCACGCGGAGGAGGAGCTCTTCATCAAGGAGGAGGGGGCCTACGAGACGGGCAGCGGGGGTGCGGAGGAGGAAGCCGAGGATCTCTCGGCGCCCAGCACGGCCTACACGGCCGAGCCGCGGCCCTTCAAGTGCTCCGTGTGCGAGAAGAGCTACAAGGATCCGGCCACGCTGCGGCAGCACGAGAAGACGCACTGGCTGACACGGCCCTTCCCCTGCAACATCTGCGGCAAGATGTTCACGCAGCGCGGCACCATGACGCGCCACATGCGCAGCCACCTGGGCCTGAAGCCCTTCGCCTGCGATGAGTGCGGCATGCGCTTCACTCGCCAGTACCGCCTGACGGAGCACATGCGCGTGCACTCGGGCGAGAAGCCCTACGAGTGCCAGCTCTGTGGGGGCAAATTCACGCAGCAGCGCAACCTCATCAGCCACCTGCGCATGCACACCTCCCCGTCCTAGAAGCCAAAGACCCACCCCCCGCCAGCACGGGCACCCAGATGAGCCACTCACCAGGAAGCCAGCAGGAGGTGGGGCGGGGCGGGTGGGTAGTGGGGCTCCTGGCCCTGCCGCACGCCGCTCCCTCCCCACACCCCCCCCCCAAGAGCTTTAACAGACAGTGTCTATACCAAGGGAAGCAAAGAAGAGATTTGATGGGACCACGCCCAGCGAGTCGGTCTACCTCGCCTTCTCCCGCTCCGCTGTGGCCTGGCAGCCCTTCTGCCCCACCCAGTGCCCCACCTGGTGAAGGGCTGTGTGCTGAGGGTACCTGTGGCTAGGTGGTGGCAGAGCTCGGACCCTGGCCCAGGGAGCAGGTGCCCAAGGGAGGTGCCCTCTCCCCAGAGCCAAGGGTGCCCTGCCTATTGGCCCTGCGACAGTCAGGGTGACCCGCCTACCTCTACAACTGAAGACCCCACTGGGGCCGGGTTACTTTTTCCTACTGAGCTGTTTGTCCCCTCCCTGTACTCATTTTGTTGTTGTGTTTTTGTTTTGTTTTTTTCTTTTGAAAGCAAAATACAGGGTTGCTCCCCTGTCTCCTAGCCCTCCAGGATGGAGCCTGGGTCTGCAGCTAGAATGTAATGTGGGTCAGCCCTCTTTCCTCTACCCCTTTTCTGCTGCAGGGCAGACCCGGGAGCACCTCCCCCCATCCCCCCACCCCCCCAACAGGCCCAAGAAAGCCCTCTGGCCCAAAGGCTTTGCAGGAGCCATAAGGGAGAGCCAGTGCTTTCCCTGTAGTTTCCAAGGAGGCGTCTTTGTTTATAGGTACTTGTTTTTGTTTTTACTAAGAAAAAACAGTGTAACGTTTATGTGAGTGTTTGAACTGGAAGGTCAGGGCTTAAGTGGGCAGGGTGGGTATGGTAGGCTGAACATGGTACAGAGTCCTTGGGACTCTCTCCCCTCTCCCCACCCCCGAAGTTTTAAAATTTTTCGTGTGTGTGTGTGTGTGTGTGTGTGTGTGTGTGTGTGTGTGAAGTATGGACACGTTTCGCCTCTTTCTCAGTACCAAGGTGGAGACCTCCGGCCATTTGCTACCTCTTGACTTTTCTAGAACGATACTTGGGTGACTGGCAGCGATGTCGTCGTGCCCTCTGGTCAGGGAGAGCCCAGGACTGGCCAAAGCCAGTGGTCTCAGCGGGGGAGATTTCTAGGTGTTCAGCCATGCCCACTTTGTGGGTGCTGCTGCTTCTGTGGGGTGGGGGTAGGGCGGGAGGTGTCCCCTCTATGAGTGTGGTGGGGGGCGGGCAGGCAGGCAGCCTCTTAAGAGCTTAAGCAGGGATGTAGGGGGTGGGGACTTTGACCAAAGCGATATGTGGACCCAAGAGGGGCAGGGAGGCCCATCAGGCTCCTTCATGGGGTGGGGACCGGAAGCTGCCCCCTGGCCGATCTGCTCTGGGGCTCAGGGGGCTCCATTGTCCCCCAAAGTTGTCTTTGAGTTTCTCAGCTACTTCAGCCAGAGGTGTGGACCCCAAGCTGGCATAATCATCTTTCCTTTTTCGTAATGTGCCCCCCCCCCTTTCTATCAGAAGTGTAAAGAACCCTGATCATAAGGCATTGGGTTAGAAGCCACCCTTCAGCCCCTCCGAGGGAGAAAGATGGGCTGCCTGCTGCCTGTCTCTTTCCGGTGAGGATTCACAGCTTCAGAAACCACGGGACAGTTCTACTCTGTCTTACAAGGTCACTGGGCATCTATCTGAGCCAACTAGACAGCATTGGGTATAGACTAGGGTATTTTACGTTTAGACCAAAAAAGCTCCAGGGACCCCCCTTTGCCACCCCCACCCCTCTTCCTTTCCACCCTTCAAGACAGCTTCCAGCTGAAAGGAAACCCGGGTCAGGGACCTCAGTGGTCCCTCACGGTGGGTCAGGGGTGCAGTGTGCAGCCCCCCTCCTACCTCTAGGGGGCCCTGTGAGCCCTAAGCTGGCACTGTCCCCCTGAATGGAATAGGGGTTCATTGGGCCTCAGGTTCCAGCATGGGCAAGTCAGGATCGGGGTTGTGGAGACTTCCCCCGCGCCCCCTGCCCACCTTCAGCACTTAAGCCACGTGACACAAAGTCTGTACGCGCGAGCCCAAGCAGGAAGGTGCGCATGCGCTGGTCGGGCCGCCTCCAGGCCACAGGAGAATGGCCGCTTATTGGCAGAACTTCAGGGACGGGGCACCAGGACCCCTTCACGACGACTTCTGCACGACATAGTATTGTACCCACCTTTAGTATTGTACCGAGCCTTTTTTCTGTATTTTAATGAGAAAGCAAAACACTAGTTTCATATTTAAGATTGCAAGGGTTGGTGGGGCGGGGCGGGACAGGGATAACTCCAGGCTTCCTCTTGTCATTTCCCCAGATTCTCTGGAGCACGTGGCTGAGCATGCGCGTGACTGAGCACACCTGCGTGCAGAGTTGTCGGGAAGCCAATCAGCTCTTGGCTGTGCTCAGTCTGTTCAGAATGGGGGGAAACCAGGAAAGTAGCAGATGTGATGTAGGAAAGAATTTAAAAAAAATAAGGGGAAGAAAAAAACAAGCTCATACCCAAATTCACAAAAACCTATTTTTTAAACCAAAGCACATTTTTAATGCGAACGGAACCTCAGTGGGCTCAGAAAAAGAAGATGCTAATATATTTATCTCATTGTTTACATAAACTCGGGACAGTTTTCCGACCTCAGCAGCTGTAAGGCCAGTGCCAGGAAAGCCCCACCCTGTGGAGACCCCAACTTGCTGGAGGGGAGGGTGGGTAGGGTGCCGTTGGTTCACGGCCAGAGGGGCGTTCCTCATCCACAGCCTGGGGCCGCCTCAAGTCCAGATGGAACCAAAGAACTGGGCCAATGCTGACCAGCCCCACTGCTCTCTGGGTAGGGTGGCTTTCGGCTCTGGCCGCAGGACCCCAGTCTGGGCTGGGGCACAGGAAGGTGACTTCCTCTCCCCTCTGCCCACCGCCCAGGCTAGGCTGATGGCAAGGGTCCCTCTCAAGCCAAAAAACGCCAGGACCTGGACCTCAGCAACACCCCCAGGCAACAGGGGCTGGCTGGGCCTGGCCCTAATCTTCAGATGGTGCGAACACGCTTACAGTGTTTTTGTATCACTATGTTTGTGCAGTGATGAATGTATTTATTTCTCAGATTTGGGGCGAGAGGCAGGCCGGGCCCTGCCACTTCACGCTCCTGCCAGATGGGGCCCCCTCAAGGGCCCTCCCAGGATTGCAAAAACTAAACCAGCTGGGCCTCGGAGACCCACAGCATAGCCATACACCTCAGCCTGTGACCTGAACGGGTGTACTTCCCCAACCAAATGCCAGGTGTCCCCGTGGCCCATCCCAAACTGTCCACAGGGCCAGCGGGTTCCTCTGCGATGCCCATGGCTGTTTAGAGTTGGGGTGAGGCCTGGGCAGCTGGGAGAGCAGGGCAAGGGCTCAGGGAAGGAGGGGCAACTGTGTCCATCCTGGCCCTGCCCTGCCCCACCCCACCCCATCAGTGCTCTGGGGCAAACGTGGAGGGCAGAGCCAGCTGGTTGAACAGGTCACGCCTTCCAAAGGGACCAAGACCTTTGGTCCTCAGTCCCCAGAACCCAATGCTAGGGAGCCTCCGTCTGACATTCCAAAGTAGGGGTGGGCATGGGTTGGGAGAGCCGAGGTTGCCCAGGACCCCCGTGTCAGGAACCCCCAGCTTTGGTCACCTCACTTTACTTTTTGGCCAGATGCCCCCCCTACCTCACCTGCTATTTATTCTGTAATTTATTTACCTCAAATGCTGCACCACCGACCTCACCCAGGACAGAGAGGCCTCCAGGCCCTGCCTCCACTTGGTGGGGCCCCATGGGGCCAGGTGCTGAGCGGAGTCTCTCTGTACCTCACCCATCACTGTCCCCTTCCTCCCCCCCAGGGGGGGGCCCAGGTTGGGCACAGGGCTATCCACAAATACCTCGAGGGGGGGGGTTACAACTGTTCTGTTTAATTGGAGCTGGAAGAGGGGTTATGTCCTTCCCAGATAGGGGTGGGCACCCCGACTCGCACTCCTGTACTGGCCACCGCAGCCACTGGGTCAACAGCGAGTTCAGATCTCTGAAGCGTTGTAATCCATTTGGGCCAAGCTGCACGGCAGCTGGCCCGAGAACTAGGAAGCAATTCTCCGACCTCAGCAGTGTGCAGTCTTAATGTACAGTGATGAAAACTGTTATGGTCTGTTCATTAAAAGCTTGATTGAAAACGAGCCAGTGTTGGGCCTGTGTGTTCTAGCTGTGCTGGAGTGGTGGGTGTCAGGGGAGATGGTTGGGCCAGGGAATTTCATATTGACAGCATTTGGGGCTCAGTTGACTGAGTGGGGTGAACCTTTTAAGTATCCTTGGCTTTGTAAACAGCCAGGGGGTAGACCTAGAATGAGAGAAATGGGTTAGTTGGGCCCAGTGCCCTTTGGGGACAGAGGGAGGTGCTTTTCTGGCTGCCCCTGTAGAGAAGGAAAAGGGGGTGTGACTGACTGGAGGGGGTCTGATCCCTCAAGTCCCTGGAGCGGGGGACAGCCAGCCAAGTGGTCACTGGCTTCATATTCCCTGGTGCCATGGGCTGCGGGCCAACCTGCCGGAAGAACCTTCGAACATTGAAAGACCTTTGAAAAGATACTGAATGATTACTTGAGCTGGGTATAGAATTGTGGATTGGGTGTCATTTATCTGAATGTGGAAGCTCTGAACTTCGACTTTTCCAGTGTGATGAGAAAGACTGCCTCCTGCCTTTTGTGTACAGGCTGGGTTTTAATTTCCAAGATTTTTGGATCTTGGTTATTGCATTTTGCACTTTCCCCCCATGGATATCAACCTTTTGTCTAAAGCTATTTTTAATTTTGTGTTTCTGTTCTCCGCATTGTATCTAGTGTCCTTGTAGATGCCCCCCTTTTGTGCACTTTTATCTTGTGCTGCCTACCACAGAGTAAGCCGTTTGAAACTACCATCCTCCCCATGGGAGAAAGATGCAGCTTTCTACTCCCATAAAGAGTTACAGTCTTGTAAACCCACAGGGGCAATTCTGCCC